ACACGGGGGCCGACACGAGTTATCTCACGGAAGAGGCAGCCCGTTCACTTGGAGTCAAGTGGACACCTAGCAAAGGCCGTTTCAAGGGCGTGAACGGTGAATGGACGGGTCTTGTAGGCGAAGCCAGGGATGTGCCTCTTAAAATCGGCAACTGGTCAGGTACCGCTAATTTCTCCATTGCACCTATGATGATTATGGTCTTGTGTTTGGCATGGAGTTTTTAGACCAGGTAAAGCCGATCATCGTGCCTAGCAATGACACGATGGTGATCCTCCAAGGCGAGAAGCCTTGTGTGGTAAAGTTTAGACGGGAGAATGAGATTAGCCCTTCCCAGCTGAACAAGGGGCTAAAACGGGGTGAACACACCTTTGCCGCCATGGTGTTTGAGGAGGAACCATGCACGAGGAGCGGCAAAGAGGAACGAATCCCGCCTCCCATAGAACGGGTCCTTGTTGAGTTCAAGGACGTAATGCCCGACGATTTGCCCAAAGGTCTTCCACCAAGGAGGGAAGTTGATCATGCCATCGAGTTGGTGGACGGGGCGAAACCGATAGCCAAGGTGCCTTATCGTATGTCCCCTAGCGAGCTAGAGGAGCTGAAGGTGCAAATCAAGGAGCTACTTGAATCGGGTCATGCAAGGCCGTCTAAAAGTCCGTGGGGTTCGCCGGCCTTATTCCAACGCAAGAAAGATGGGACGCTACGTTTGTGCATCGACTATCGGGCGTTAAACAAGCTAACCGTGAAGAACAAGTACCCTATCCCACTTATAGCGGACTTGTTTGACCAGCTGCAACGGGCACGGATCTTTTCCAAGCTAGACTTGCGGAAGGGATACTACCAAGTACGCATAGTACCCGGTGATGAACCGAAAACGGCCATGGTGACGAGGTATGGCTCCTATGAGTTTCTTGTTATGCCGTTCAGTTTAACTAACGCCCCAGCCACGTTTTGCACTCTGATGCAACGTGTGCTAGCGGATTTCATTGATAAGTTCGTTGTAGTGTACTTGGACTACATCGTTATCTATAGTAACACAATGAAGGAGCATGTGGAGCATCTTAGAGCCGTTTTTCAAGTCCTTAGGGAAAACCAGCTCTATGTTAAAAGGGAGAAGTGTTCCTTCGGCCTTGAGGAGGTGTCGTTCTTGGGAAACATCATTGGTGGGGGCAAAATCCGCATGGATCCGGCCAAAATCAAAGCTATCGTGGAGTGGGAGGCACCCTTGAGATTGTCCTTGGTTTCCAACCGACTACGCCTAAGGACATTCTTGGGGGCTACAAGGGCAATAGCCCACCCGCGTACAAGTTTGCCAAAGACTGGCAAGAACGGGCGGACGAGGCAAAACTCTACTTGGAGAAGTCGGCCGCGTGCATGAAGAAATGGGCGGATAAGAAACGGACCCGTCGCGAGTTTGAAGAAGGTGACCAAGTCTTGGTGAAGCTTTATGAGCCTGGACGGAGCCGTGGTCTACACAAGGGTCTCATGCACAGAGACGAGGGTCCTTTCACCGTTCTTAAGAAAGTGGGTTCGGTTGCTTACAAGCTGGAGCTACCCGAGGCCTTTTCAAGGCTTCATCCAGTCTTTCATGTGAGCCTACTTAAGCCATACCGCAAGGACCCAGAGGACGAAGAACGGAACGTTTCCTCAAGGGCACCAGCTGGCGTACGCGAGCATGAGGAACGGACCGCAGAGGAGATCTTTTCTAAGAGGATCGTTCGGGGCAAGAGCAGGGCAGCAACTAAAGAATACTTAGTGTAATGGAAGAATTTGCCAATGAGTGAGACGAGTTGGGAGCCAATCGAGAAGCTTTGGCAATTCACCAAATTGATCGAGGACGTTGAGGAGAATCGTGCACCAGTTCCTATCAACATTGCCTTCGAGACTTAGGTGCATCGGGGCGATGCACCATTTTGGTGGGGGAGGATGTCACGGACAGTTTTTCTTCACCACGAATTCGGGTGGTTTGATGCGAAACGGGCTATTTTCATAGATGGACATGGGACGGAACGGTCTAGAGCCTTGTGGAATTTTTCGGTCAAATCTTGAAGACTCTGGAATCTTCTAGAGAGGCCCGGAACTCTCTAGAAACGAGTGGAACCGTGTGGAAGCTACCCGAGTTGGCTAGAAGCGTGTAGAAGATTCTAGAGACTTGTAGATATTTTGAACTTAGAATATTTTATTGTAGGAATTCTCTAGAATTCCATTATTTTATTATGTTGATAGAATTCTTTAGGACTTGGGGGTTTGCCTATAAATACCCCATGCCCCCTTCATTTGTAATCCATCCAAGCTTTGAGTAGAGTTCTCAAGCATTCCTTAAGCTCTCTTGTGCCTTCATCGTTCTTTCACTTTCAACCTTTCTTAAGTTTTTCTTTGCCTCCGTTCTTTAATGCCTTGCCTAGCTTTGCACGCTTTGGGGTTCTTAAGGCTGAGCTAGCACTTGATCGTTAGTTGTTTTGTGCTAGTGCCGCACGGCCGTTACTTTGAAAAGTAAGCCCGTGACAAATGGCATAGAACGTTTTGTCTCGTTCCACAGCCTATTCTATGTCCATAAATAGAATTTCCAAAATAATGCGTAAATTTAACGTTGGCGTAAATGACCAAGAACAAAAATAGTGGAATAAGAGGAATTGGCCCTCTAGTTATGTCCTAAAGGCAGTTAATCCCTCAATGTTTTCTATAAGGAAAAAAAACATCCGTTGATCACCAGACAAAACGGCCCTGCACTATTTGTAGTGAGAACTTGTCTATGATGTATCTTGGATTACAAAATTGAGTTTCTTTGTCAAAAGCAAAAAAAAATTACCAACCTAATTATAAGGTGGTACAAATAATATTATATGTATCTTGTTTTATCCATGGTGAGAGGTAATGGGAGATTCATAGAAAAATGATTAGGGCTATTAGTTTTCTCTATTTTTTTTCCATGCTAAAAATATTAATCGGAACCATCACGATTTTATTGTCTTTTTAGGTCTTTAGACGATTGACTTTGAGTTTGAGGTGATCAAGAGGGGTCTTTGTCCATTTGAAAAAACTTGAGGGGATATTGCTGATTGGAAAATAACTCTGGGTCAATTTTCCTTATCCCTTCTCATAATGGGTTGGTAATGTTGAATTTGGTTAATTATGCGGATGATATATGATCATTACAAGAAGATTAGATTATTATATGTTCATCATTTTTTTTCTTTATGTGCCAACTTTGCTTTATATTTTCACGGCAGCCAGCATTTGCTCTCTACTCAATATGGTTATAGCTTATTAAGGCTCTAAGAAACCAACACAAATTAACAGTAAAAAGGGATATGTTCTTATGAATTTGGTCGTGTGAATAATAAGAACTTGGTTGTGTAAATAAAACAGGATTTAAATGATCCATAATTATCACATGATGAAAGATTAAATAAAATCATTAACCTTTATTTTAAATCAGCTTTTAAAAAAAACCTTTATTTTTAAATCGCATTATAAGGATAGGTAGATGGTTAAAGTAAAGAATCATATTCCCAAAATAAGCGAGTCGAATCTGAGGGGAAGCAGTTAAAAAAATAAAAATATAAAAACAAAATAGAGTAAACATTATAGATGAAAAAAGTGAGAACACGAAGGAGATAATGGATGAATTAAAGAACGATAAACAAAGAATTGTAACTTAGGAAATGGAGCAATACTTTGCTCTAGAAAACTCTAATAAAATTTTTCTGAAAATCTAGAAAAATCTAATAAAATTATTCTGAAAATAAGAATAGCCTTTATTATTAATATATTTTATAACTGCATGTCTGCAAGATTATTTGGACTAACCAGCTGTCAATCTAATCACCAATTATTGGTTAGTATCCGTTAATTTGGTATCTTAATCAAATGATTTAACATGATAATCAACAGATAAACGTACAATTGGTCTAAAATGTAGCAATAAAATATAGAACACTGAGTCTGCAAAATTCTGTCAACCACGTTACTGAGTAGTGCTTAATTATTTTACATTGAGGTTATATTTTTTTTTTAATTAAATGGCGACAACAATAATCTAATAATTTTTTTTAAAGTAAGTATTGACTTTCTGAGATATGAGAATGTTGACGAGTGTTGAATATTTTTGAGGGTTATCATTCTCATACACTTTCCTATCGGAGTCCTTCATTATCCCACTTTTAAACAGATTTTCGCTTTGGTGCTTTTAGTTTTCATTCCTTCTTCGGAAGTCAATATATTGTAGATTAAGCTAAGATTTATAAAATACGAATTCAATCTCTTAATTTGTTTTGAGAATATGTCACATTCAATCTCTTATTATTATTCTCTCCTCCGTCCCAACCCATGTCTGTAAAACTAAGGGTATGTTTGTTTTGTTTTTTAGTGTGTTTTTAGTATTGGGAATGTAAAAAGATATATTGAAAATGTAAAAAGATGTGCTGGAATGGGACAGTTATTATTTTAATATTATGAAAAAACCATCCAAATCAGGAAAATAATAATAATAATAATAATAATAATAATAATTCCAGAAGCTTAAATTAATATCTAAAATTAGAGGGATTCGGGCATTCCGCTTTGGCAAAATCGACCATTTGCATCACAAAATTTAAACTTGGTGACACCTTTTTCTTTCATCTTGAAGGAGGGGGAAAAAGCTACCAAAAAAATTGGGAATGGATAATCCGACTACCAAAGTTAGGCGCATAAAGATAACTACTAGTACCTTTAACTAATAGTTTTAGGTACCTTCTTCCAAAAAAAAAAAAAAAGGAAAGATACTACTAATTAGTAGTATACGAACAATGCCTTTGATCCTATAAGTATACGAACAATGCCTTTGATCTTTTTCACATCATTGCTCGATCTCAAACTCAGTAAACATGAAATGAATTTGGCTTTTCGCCGTTTCGGCTATGGTGTAACAGCAGAGCTGAACAACTAGTTCTGTTCTGTACTTGGGGAAGATCGTAAGTGATGCTCAAGAGAGCTGCATTTATCATCTCTTCTCCATCACTCCACCAAAAAAGAAAAAAAAATAAAGAAGTAAAAATAAAAATAAAAAAAAATAATCTCTTTTCCATCACTCCACCGAAGAAGAGGAAAAAAAAAAAAAAGATGAAGCTGTTCACAAGCAGGATCGAACATGATTAAAAAATCGTTCAATGAGCTATTGAATTTTTTGCAATACAACAAAATTTTCCTACGTAAAAGACGAGGTAAAAAAGAATGAATACCCAAGTAAACTACAACTCTACCCCCCGGTGCTAGAGAAGACCGACAAGGAAACAGCAAAAACATATCTAACCTAGTAACATAACACTAAAGGGGGTAAGAGCACAGCCTATAGACATTTATAAATAGAAAATTTTGGTGATTACCAGGCCAAATGGTAATCCTCAACTATGTGAACAAAGTGACAACATCTCTGCGGTATCCTCGAACTATCAAAAGTCTAGGTACATTTTCAACCAGTAAGTCCATATACTCCATGTAAAAGTAGGAGGGATGGTTGAGAGGAGGAGGAGGAAGACTCACAAGCACGACTGCGGCCATTCTTGAGTATTTCAGTATTGTCGAGTTAAGCTTCAGGGTGGTGTATAGGAAATTCTCCACCTGTTGTTCATTGACAACTACAGGTTTGCCATCAGCCATTAAAGAAGTCCCTTCCCTCTGAGCTCTCTCCTTTATCCCAGCCAAATAACTACTAATCCGTTGTTGTGCACCAGTAAAAGCCTCAAACGATTCATCTTGCTGTTCTGCTTGTGCATCCCATGACTTCATTGAAATCACAATGACTTCAGCTTGCATGCGAAGATCATAAAGAAACTTCTTCACATCAGCCTTCAGCTCCTCTGCATCGGAATCCTCTTCAGCAATGCAGAAAACTTGAATTTTACAGCTCTCAAAGCTCTCTTTTGTTAGCAGCAGCTGAGATAGAAGAAGCATAAGACCACCATCTCTCACAATCCAATACAAATCAATGCTTCCATATTGTCTCTGATACGCGTTAGGCCACTCATCCAGGCCTTTAACAATGACAACTGCCTTGTTTGCAACAATACAATCATTTATAATTCCAACAAAAGTTGCAGGTATTTCAATTAAGTTTTCACGCCTCCATATTTCAGGGTAACGCATAACCACAATATTAGGCTTGAGATTGCCAAGGCCCATCGTCTGAATAATGCCTCGAAAGCCATCACTCATACTGGGAGCAACTACTATCTCTGCTACTCCTTCACATTGCTTGTAATCAATGTATGTACTAAGCTGCTTGCAGGCAACCTTGGCATCCTCTGCACACTCATGGTAATCTCCATCTATGATGGAAAAAAAAATTGACATTCCCCTGCCCTTTTTCTTCATGCAGTTGGCAAAATCAGCAAGCTTGGGATGACAGGGAACATTTTCCGGAAGCTTACCCCAGGGCCTACAAAACACAAGGGGGATAGGATACCAATTCTTTGGGTGCACCTGATCAGCTGCAATACAATAAAATTAACCCAAGGCGTAAGCTTAGGCCCAAACCAAGTTATTTTCTGATAACTTGCTACTAGTAGCAGATCATAAAAGTTGCCTAAGCTTATGCAATTTAATTCAGTTGATGCATGGCAATGGATGTGAAAGGAAAATTTTATGTCTGCTAATCAAGCAACCACAAGGTACATAAGTTTTTCCCACTTCAACAGAATTCCTTAGGGAACCGGTCAGTAAAAAACCTGGGTAAAGAAAGATGATATTCTCATCATTTAAACTCGTATTCTAAAGTAGAATTCGGATGTGGATGAGAAACATTTGCCGCACTACTAATATATCTGGAAATGGAAATGATGCAGCATGTCAAAATGACAAATATATGATTGAGGAGGTTCACAGAAGTTAGTTTCTGACGAGGGAGGTCTGGTCTAAAGTGAGACATAAATTTTTAATTTTTCCATGGCAAGTAAGATATCAATTACTATATGAAAGAGAACAGCACAAAGAAATAACCAATTAAGTTAGTGATTCTAGTAGATTAGCACCCACCTCCCAATGATCGCAGACTACGAAGAGCAAGTTGGAAGTATGCACTTTTGAAACCATCGCCCCAGTCTCCAGCTTTTCCCTTGATGCTCACATAGTAATAGATCAAGCTTGCTAGGGCCAGTGATACCACAGTAAAGGCCCAAGAAATCAAAAACATGATAACTGCAATAAAACATCATCCAAGGTAAGTAATTTCACCCTAGAAAATACATAATACAAGTGACTGAACATGTTAAATGATAGTACACATTCTCAAATACTGCAAAGAAATAGCATCATTCTGATATCCTTGTTGTAGTATAACCAACTCAGTCATTTGTGTTCCTTATTTCCAACTAGATCAATGCAGCAAGTCAATTAAATTATGACTTGCTGTGAATCATAAATGAGATTCTTTCACTCTAATTTAACTAATTTTCTCTTAATTCTGCATTCTTAATTCCAAAAGTCCGAAATTCAGGTATTACCATTGACAAAAACATGGGGCTTACGAACAGACATCATTGCATATTCTTATTCATATCGAGCTACAAACCATAACGCAGCTCATATTCCGTGAAGATATTCCATGTCAGCCAAAAAAACTAAATGCAGAATTAGATAACAGTTCGTATACTTTCCCTTCCAATGAAAACTATAACTGTTAACAATACTTAATGAAGAAATCCAGATGTACACAACCAACACAATTCTTAGTTAGATAACAGTTGGTATGCTTTCCCTTCCAATGGAAACTATAACTGTTAACAATACTCAATGAAGAAATCCAGATGTACACAACCAACACAATTCTTAGTGACCTTGGTCGATGAACAAGATGGAATACCACTACAAACATGAAGTATTTCCACTTTCCAGATCGCATGTTTTTATTTATGCCAATCTGGGCAGTCAGAACAAACAAGAGGAGCTTAAAAAATACATTATGGGCCAAAGGTGTTGATTCAACACATTGAATTGATAGAATTGATCAACCGCCTTAACAGCTTTACATCTTGGTTATACAGGTTTAATCATAGGTAACGGTTCATCGATTCTATGATAGATAATAGATTGTAATATCCTGTGTATGAGAGCAATAGCCCAAAAGTTGAAAAGTTACTTGCACTCTTTTATGCAGTAATCACCTTACATCGTCACTAGTCAACCTCTTGAGTCCTCCAAAACCTTATTAAATCATAAAACACCCAAAATTTTCTTCTGTTCCTTACAGCCTAAATACACAGAAATTGTATCTTTATTTACGAAAACCTGAAGGTCTGTTCCGCATCATAAAAACAAATGCTCTTCTATCTTGATGTTATGTAAGAACAATCTCGTGTTCACAGCACAAAAGATGGAATAATGTTATTCACTATCTCTAGTCATTAATGATTCGTGCCATGAAAGCTGAGCAGAAAAAGGGGCTATTGATGCAGCAACATACCTATGCAAAGCAGTGCTCCAACGAGTGAAAGGCTCCAGTGATGAAATTTCCAGCGAGGACGCCAGCTAGGAGCATCAAGAAGATCCAAAAGGAAGCAGGACAAATTTACTCCCGCGTAGCATAGTAGGTAAAACATAGTTATGGTTGGTGTTATAAGATCAAGATTTCCAATCACTACACAACCAATACAGAGGAAGGCAGTAAAAAAGGTAGCAATGTGAGGTTCACCACCATCTGCCACCTTGAAGTAGTTAAGAACAGGTAAGATATCATCATTGGCAATGGCTGCAAGCAGGCGCGGAGCACCAGTCAAACTTTGAAGAGCTGCTCCCAAGGTTGAAAGAATTATACCGATATAAATTATTGCCGGGAATGGCCAAGCAACAGTTGCTGTAAGTAACCTGCATATACAGATTATGAATAATTTAAATCCATAAGCTTAATCAAATGAATTTCATAACATAATATAAGCTAAAAAAACATTTCATCTTCAAATCTCAGAATGTTCAAAAGATTGTGAAAAATGAGAACCCAGGTACATTTTAAATGGCTCAAAGACTATTCAAAATGCTGGTTACGAACATTCTTGATTCCTCCAGCACAAGTTTACATTGAGAAGCCCATAAACTCATGTCAAACCAAAGACGCAAAACAAAATTTTTGGCATCAACAATTCTGAAGATATCCCTGTGTCTAACAAGAAATGTACAAAATCAAGTTTTATAGTAGGATTGGGTCAAACACAAGACACGGAGGAGGTAAAGACTTTCTTCTCAGTAATTAGTCACTTTTTTCCCCTTCCTATATCTAATGAATCACCAGAGCAAACCTTTACTAACCCCTACGATATCCCATCTTTGCGACCATCACCCAATTTTCCCACCAGAAACAAACCATATCACCATCACTATGTTGTCCATACCCATCTCAGAAACATTACGGAAATAACCAATATAAAACAGGAGTGTAAAATGCAAATAAATAGCATGCCATTGATTTTAGAGGAAACAATATTAAAAGAAAAAAGAAGACATTGCAACTACCCAAGTAACGAACACGGCCCAGAAAACCAAACACTGCCCTCAAAATTGAGCTGAACAAAATAGATGGCGTTCCAGTAAATTAAGATGTGGCCAAGAAGAGAATATAAAAAGCATCCCATGACTTAAAACTACCAAAAACAAAATCCTAAATTGGCTGGAAACAATTACTGCAGAAAGAAATTTACACCTACATGAAGGCTTTCACACTAATTGAAGGCTTTAGAACCAGGGACACATCGCAACAAAGAATACAGGAAGATGTTATAAAAATTACATAAACAGACCTGTCTGTCAAAAGTTTCTCTCTGGTAGCAAGAGCTCCAAAGAACAACACGGTAACCAGATACAGAACAGAAGTCGTCAAAGTTGCAGCCAATGTACCAACAGGAATCGACCTCTGAGTGTCCTTTAGTGAGGCAGAACGATTTGAACCAGCCATGATGCCCGTTACAGCAGGAAAGAAGAGACCTACCAATGCACTGATCGAGAAGAAAGGTGAAGATGTCAGAATAAAACAAAATTGATCAGTTCCCACAATTTGTTCAAGCAAAACCATGAGAAGAGAAAATGATAACAAAATTTTGATGCTTCAGAAAGTGAATAATCAGCTAATTTCAAATCCGGCCTGTTTCCGAGGAAAGGGGGGAGACAAATAACAATAAAACACTCATGAATTTCCATTGATCAATACTGTCAACAAGCAGAAGCACAAAACCTTTTATAATACAGTTGCAAAAGAAAAGTTATGGAAACTTCGAATAAATCTGTGGAACCGGATTTGCATTTATGTGGCCCTTTAGAGTTTGGATTATTCTTGTTAATAAGAAACTTCCATAAACTCTTTTTGTTTGGAGTCAACATGTATCGTGTGTGCCTTGTAATGGGGATATATCCTTTGTTGTTGCAAGAAAAACGCATCTCCCTTTTGGCATCCAAATTCATGTACATATTTCGTTCAACTGCTTACATCCAAAAAGACAGTAAATCCTGAGTATACAGCAAAACCTACACAAAGTTTCATCATCCGAGGTGTTACTACAGCTAGATCCAAGCATTTCTAGAGAATATCCAAACAGCACGACAACCAACACACCTTTATCCCACTAAGTTGAGCTGGTTACATGTGGGTTGGGGGTCGTGTGCGGCTTAAAAGTTGCAAGGAGCTGCAGTGGAAGCAATTCCCAAGTGCACAGACTAAAAACTGAACTTGGGTTGTGTTTGAAGATTTCAGAGTTAGAATCCAGATGTAATCATTGAAAGGCCATACATATCATTACCACATCCTTAAACAATCTGAATTTCCTAGGCTTTCAAACCAATAGTGCAAGAATGCTTCTCAGTTACTTGTATAATGAGATACTGACAACACTCCGATAAACTTCAAAAGAACAACTCTGCTGGATGCTAAATTTAAGTGACTATTGCAAGTTTCGGGGAAGGGGATAATGCAGGGGAAGCGGTAGTCAAAATTTTCTTTCTGGAAGTCACATTTTCATAAAACTGCCCCCAAATAAACAAAAAATAAAATAAAATAAAATCTCTCCTCCCTCAATCACTTTTTGTATCACACAAAGTTGTGCCGAAAGACAATAGTAATTCTCATAGCAGAACTGCAAACTCATTAGACTAGAGAAGAACATAATCAGATGGAAGAAACCCCCATGAGAGGAAAACAGCAAACCAATAAATCCAAAACAAATAGAACTCTAGAAAACAACAGACACTAGTGGTAGAGAAATCCGTTCCTAACCATCATATGCAACTATAAAATTTTCTGTCTCGTAGGACACTGACCAGTTCATTCTCGAACAAGCATCAAATGATTGAAAAGGTAGTAAATACAAGAATGTAAAGACGTTAGTTAGAAGAAATGGCACCAATTAGCACGTCAAAAGTCTAATTCAATACTTTCACAGACATTGCAAAGGAAGAACAGCACAATTCCTCGGTTGGAATCTCATCAATAAGACTCTTTTTCTGATACATAAAAGGACAAGACATTCGATTCTGCTTGAAGGAGCACACACAGATTCAGGAGTTAGATTTCAAATGCACAGAAGTATGCGCTAGAGTGTATCAACGCATGAGTGTCAACACGCATGAACGGGGACATAAGTCGAGCAGAGTTTTCAGCACAAAAAAAGTAAGAGTTAAAGCAAACAAACGGAGAAGCTTTTGCATTTCGTACTTGAAATTCCAATATATCTTCCCATCAGGATCTGGAATTCCAGCATTGTTGGTCGTTTGATAATCAGAACTCCAATTGTCTTTGAAAGAATCTAAGCTCAACCCAGTGATACCAGCTGCACCATGCATCCAAGAGAAAGTAAACTAGTGAGCAACATACTGTCACATCAAAAATACAGATTCAGGTTATCATTAATCTTAAGTCTTAATATTTTGTATCGAGCATTCCCCATCCCCTTCTGTTTTTATGCATTGAAGTTGCCAACGACGCCCAACCCTTCTATTTTTTAGTCCCCATCCTGAAATTCCTCTGGTAGGTTCTGTTTGGAAAGGTATTTGCTTTGATGACACAATTGACATTCATCCTCCCATCTATGTATTTAAAGGCCACACTGAATCGCCAACAGAAGTTTCCCAAAGATATACACTAGCCGACAAGGAATGAGGTACTCTATTAAGTATATCCAAAGGATAGATGCATGCACAGCAAAGCATCAAGGCAGCCAATTAATTTAACCATAAAATTAACTGGAAACACATGCCATTGCATTCAATTCATGATATAAAGATAGCAGAAACACCATGAAAGGAGAATAAAATCAAACCCTCAACCCATTAATAGCATGCAATGGTCTAAAACTTTGATTCCTACATCAGTCCAGCCAAAGACAATTTATATGCAAATTGAGTGCTTCACACCTAAAAATCACAAAAGATATCAAACTTGATGCTTTTAATATTTTGTTGTTGAGCATCCAGCTATAGACAATAACAAAAGAAAAGAGCATCATAAAGAAAACAGCTCATGAAAATTCACTCTATTGATACTTGTAATCTTCCCAAGGAGCAATGATTTACTTATCGAATATATAAGATAGGAACTCATGAAATGAGATCAATTATTCCAGAATAACAAATTTATTACCCAAGTTTGCACAAAACTGCATATGGAGGATTTCAATCAAGTTTTCAGAAGTTAAATACATGTTTCAGAAAACAAAGAGTAAAAAAACTGCATTTATTGCTGAACAATGATCCATCAACGCACATCACTACCCAGAATGCATTTACTTGAGGAGATGTAAATTAATTGAGATCATGTTTATTTCATATTATTTAAAACATGAATCCAGAAAACACATCATGCTTCCGGAACCTTTTCCCATTATTAATAGAGAGGTTATACATAAACATATGCACCAAAGAAAGTCGCCAGCCTAATATACATCGATTTTGAGGTGTGTATGCATGCTGCGATCAACATATAGCTCTACCGACCAAGGTTCAGATGCTAACAATATCTTTTTTACAACTGAGTGGAGTTCATCAACCAAATATACTCTTCAAGACCACGTAATCGCAAAATTGCAGTACAAATAGCACTCTTAAATCAGACATTAAGGCCCCCAAAAACACTATCTATGCAAATTCACATCCATGCTATGTTAGGTCTTTTGTGTAACAGCAAATCGACTGGATTCAGTGACATCAAAAAGGCTTATTACGAGAACACAAAAAACTAAAGGAAAAAAGAATATTAACCTGCTGGATGATCCTTTCTTGCCAGAAATATCCCCGCAAATATGCACACAAGCGAGAATAAAACAGGTATAAGAAAGGCAGGTGCAACCCGATTAATGATTTTCACCCCTCCAAAGACGATGAAACATAGAATGATGGTCACAACAATTCCATAAATCTGTAAATCATGTAAACTTGGACTGGTAATAGGCTGTGCTACTTCTGTCCCGTTTACTCTAGTGATGGTCTCTGCAGTAATCCATTGGAGAATATAATTACTATTTGAAGTCAACATAATCAATGTGTTAAATACGACAATACATCAAAATTTGAAACACAAATAAAGGATTGCAACCGCAAATGTCAACAAATGATAAGAAAGCAATCTGAGATGTGGTAGTTATTTGACTCAACATGCAACAAAGGCAAACCCTTCCGAGTGCCTGATTTCCATTACTATAGACATAATATTCGCTTTGAATCATCCAAAGTAATTCACTGTCAACAAAAGAACCCTGAAGGGCCAGGAATGTCAAGGGATCCCTCAAATACTTGGATTAATCACATAAAAAGTAGCACCGAAAACTGCAATGCACTAATACATTCTAATTCTGGCTCCTTCCAAAAGAAATACATGATGGATCTAGCAAGAAGATCATGGAAATTTCATAGCAGCCTGAAGGGCCAGGAATGTCAAGAGATCCTTCAAATACTTAAAATTATCACATAAAAAGTAACACAGAAAACTGCAACGCTCCAATACATTCTAATTATGGCTCCTTCCAAAAGAAATACATAATGGATCTAGCAAGAAGATCATGGAAATTTCATTGCAGCTTAACGCCGAACTCTACAATACCTTGCTTTCCAGCTTAAGAGTGTTAATAACAATCAACAACAACAACAACATGCCCAGTATATTCCCAACTCGGTTGGGGTCTAGGGGGTCAAGATGTACGCGGCCTTACCCCTGTATATCAATACAGAGAGGCAGTTTAAGTAGTACAACCCAAGATGCATTGGTGCATAGATGTTTTGATTTCCGGAAACTTCACCAAAATTAAGAAGCTCCGGAATTTAGACATGCCATTTTGATCTATTCCATTATTACACAAAGCTGAAAGAATTGTCAATGATAATCAGCTGCCACATTTTAAGGCTTTATCCTCCCAAAAAAAAAATAAATAAATAACATAATGACTAAAAATTTAAAATCATTACTTTCCCTTCAATAATAAAAAAAATTAAAAAAAAAATTTGTCTGAAATAGACAGCATGAGGTCCAGGAATCTTATCTTAAACACAAAAATTAGCCATGAGTCTCTGTACCTTTAAAAATCCCAGCACTTGGAACAGCATTTAGGAAAGTCTCGACAGCTCCCAGTACGTAACTGCATCACGAGCAAAATTACATTGGCGTTGTCAATAATTACTAATTATAAAATCATGGCTACAACGGAATGGAGTAATCATGAGGGAATAAAGAATGGAATAGGGTAAATCGGGAGGGAATACAAGTTTGCAATAACAATCACATCAACACACCATCACTAAAAAAGTGGAAATGATCTTCATATCATACATGCATAAATACTTTTACATAAACTAAAAATAGTGGGCACAAGTTCATCTCAAGCATTTCTGTATCAAAGATACAATTCAGTACAACAAGAGAAAGAAACTCACAGAGCTCCAGCAACAGCATTTCCAAGGAAAAAACAAAGTCCTATACTCACTCCAACCTCAGGACCCAAGGCACGGCCTATAAGATAATAAGGTCCTCCACCCTAGATATTGGTCAAACATTAGAAACTCGTAAGTAGCAAGCGAGATTCAGAACATCACAGAAGCATTACACATTTCAAGTACTTATATGCTTCAATTTCACAGAACGAGTCCCACAGAAATTATAATTGTCCCAACAGCAGAAACAGGTTATCTTACTTTCATAGCACCATTAGTTGCAATTGCGCTCAATGAAATTGTAGTCAAGAAGGTACATGAACCGCAGAACGCTACCAGTAACAATGATTCACCTATACCGGCCATACCAACAATCCTGCATTTCTCCATAAAAGAAGTACAACAAAATAATTAAAACTAATTATATCAAGAGAAAAAAGAAGAATAACTTCCAAAAGAGAGTGTCCAGTTGGAAATACTTGAAGAAGTAATGATGAATTAGTGATGAATTTTCTGGTAGAAAGTGGGAGAAGCATCAGTGGAAAGAAAAATGAGAAAATCACACTTAAAGATGCTTTAAGGCATGTGCAGTAGGTAAACAAAGTTTCCCAAAAAGCATCAGGGAACCAGAGTTTCAAAAAGGTGCTAACCCGAAAAACTAAATAAGATCCACCAAACACAATGAAATTGCTCATGAGCTAGCCATCTTTCCATCATCATTACATTTGTGTTTATGGATAAATATACCCGAAAAATGGATTTTCGTGGAAACCCACTCAAACAACCCAGTTGAAAAACAGATTTAAAAAGAATCATCAAAAGCACAAGATCTACATAAACGTTTCACAACATTTCAGGAAGTCCAAAAGTTGATACTTATCGCATTAACATGTTTGGTGATGTCATAATTATGTCTAATTATAATTCTGGCTACATGTGATTTGTACCAAAAGGAAGAAAAGAGTTTTACCAGGAAAATCTGATATAATAAATGATCCCCAAAATATTCTGCAAACATGGCACAAATACTCCCATCATTGTCCCCAGTTTTACACCTGTATCCTACATTATAAGCCAAAAGGAAAAAATGAACATCACAACCATATTTCATAAAGTGCAGGAGACAGATCAATAGGTATTTCAAGGCCATGCAATCAACCAAACCACCATCTTAAATGATGCAGAAGCTATATATATAAAAAATAAGCACTGAATTTCACATCACCGGAGAAATAGCCTAGCTAATATGTTACTCATCTATATTCTTCATTTTCAGTAATCAAAACAACACATCAACCTGCAGGTGCACTTATAATGCTTAGCAATCTTCAACAACCAACCAAATAAAAATACACCAATTGCTACAGAGAGATGAAGAAAAGAGTATTTATTTGAGTACAGGTGCCGTTTTTCATCAGTTACAAAATAACTGAATAGAATGGTGAGGGGAAGAGAGAGACAGCATGTCTGAAAATTTTGATGCACGATGCTATGCTACGCATCCATCAGCTGGAATATTGATTTAAGGGCATTGCCACCTCTTGACGTCAATACCCGTAATAATAATGTGATTGATTGATAAAAAGTCGGAAGGTAAATAAAACAAAATCTTACTGGGGTAAAATTGAAGAAAAGAACTTCCTAGCGGTGAAAAAGATAAACATTTATCATCTGCTTGAGAGGAAAGTAAGGTAATGCAGGATTGTAATCTGTACGAGTACCCCAATGGCCCAATGAAAATTAATCCAAGAATTCTAGTTCTGTGCATGGATGGATTATGAATTTTCACATTTTTGAAACCATAGTTGCAATTGCTTAAGGAAATGAATCGGAGATGCTGTGGTCATAAGATGAACATGCAAAATAGATCATTCAAGTAACATACATTTGCACTTCTGCAACATGCATACATATGCCTTTGATACTCCATCATTATAGAGATCTTCCAAACTTTTGCACAGGGAGTGTATACTATTGGCTTATATTTGCATGAAACTTTTCTTCTCTGGCTCAAAGTAGTTTATTTTATCTAAATCAAACTGTTTTAAAGAAGTTTTATAGAAACTCACGTGCAAATATCGTTCCCCTCAAAAACTCCCATACCAATACTCTTTATCAAAATTTGAGGCCAAGATTTGAATAAGCAACAAAGAGAATTCGAGAAATTATCAATGCAATCATCCTAATGGAAATGTCTGTCACGCTTTTGAATTCACAATTTCCTTCACAGTATGCATAAAGAGTAAATTCAAGTACGTAAGTGCTCTCACAATAGCAATGCCCATACTCAAAAATAAACTTCAATTATAATTCCAAAAAGAGACTTAGGCCAACTATTATATATTCTCGCATTAAACAGCCAGCCAAAGCTATGGCACTCTGTTTACAGAACAATGTTGCTAACATCATGAGTTATGCTCGCTTTTCTAGCCAAAAACCAGAACGAGTTAAAGTTCATCCAAATATTAAAACAATGGCGAAGAAAGAATAATTTACAAACGAAGCAGTAAACTAGATAAACAGCTACAATTATTTCACTATAAATGGAGGGAGATTTCCTTTCCAGTTTGGGCAGCTGACATCCGCCACAGCTCCTCAAACTAGTAATAATTGGGATACAACAAGTACCCTTAAGATTTTTAAGGTGCTCCTGAATAAGTTCGATAAATGAGAGATGTGTGCACTCACTATGAATGCAGTGTTGAAAAGAGTCTAAGATGAAATTTGTCATAGTCAAAGTCATGAGCCTAAGAAAACATAATATTGCAGACAAAAAATAAAGTATCAATTTATCCGTTCCAATGGAAATTACTTAATTCGCACGTAATAGGTATCCTCAGGTTTCTCCACTGAATGATGGCCTGGAATTGGGCCAACTAGACGAAAATACAAACTATTCAAAGCCTAGAGTGAATTTATTGGTCAGTCATCAAAGTTCAACAACCCATGATAAGTTTCAACCAAGCTAAATATCCCAGTACATCACCAATTCATATGCTTGGACAGACGCAGACAACACAAAGTTTCCAGGGCTGTCTTCAAAATATATTGATATGGTCACTTCACTCTTCACTAGCTAAGTTTATAAGCTGGCAGAAGACAGCACTAAAGGTGGATCATTAGAGCAGTCTTACTACGTAACACTCCCTCTGTCCCAACAAAAATAGACCACATTGATTTTTCAAATTTGAACTATTTTAGTAAAAATCTCAAAACAAAACTCAATGTGGACTATTTTTTTTGGGAAAGAGGGAGTAATATATTTGCACCTTTTAATCTTATGTAACAGAAACTTAAGCCATATTCCTACATCATCATAATGGCTATCAGCCGTTCACGGTCAATCATATAAATTTATCAGCACCAACAGTGAAACAAGGCACACATCAACAAAGTTGCAAAAGTTATCACTTGAAACGTGAAAACAAACAAATCAAGAATATGAACATAAACAAGTTACGCAATTACCCTAGGACGTCCAAGATTGATGGTAGCATCATCTCCATCCCTAGGACTAGATGGGGCAGGAATTGGATCTCCGGTCATACTGGAATAATGAAAGGGGTGAAAAAAACACTTTCAATCTACTATACAAATGCAAATCTGAGGAAAATTGTCATAATGAACAGAATCAAGTACCTCTTACCTCTTAAGGCCTAGAATGTTTACAAGTGAATCAAACCCAAATAGTTCCAATTTCGAGTCCACCTGAGACCCATTGGCACGCACATGGGTGGGTAGTGATCCTTCTCTTACTTCAGAAGCATTATTCGCTTGATTGCCCAGCTTCACCTTCCTGCCACAGAATGTGGAGCTCAGTCTACAATACAGGGCTTAGAAATATAAAAATTGCTAACTAAAATGACAGTCACAAATAAAGTCCTCAAACTCAGAGGAAATAGCCTAACAATACTCTAACAGAAACCCAGATGTGTGTTTCTATCAAGACTACCTATTATGAAGCAGCAATACTCAAGGTTACATGTTTCTAAACTCAAAAGTCTATGTAGCTTACAGGCTAAACAGGAATACATTCTGATAGGCCAATAAAACAACTCCCACAAGGTGGAACCTTATCCAACCAAAAGAAAATGCCCAATGCCTTATTCCATAGTTGGACTTTGTCTGGCTGCATTTGTTTTCTTGTTCTTTACGATTATCTACGCACATTTTTACATCTTCCAGACAAGAATTATTTCACACAGTCAAGGAGAGAAATTAGGAAGAAAAAATGAAATATACTCAGCCTCAGAGTAGTATAGTTTAAAAATGAACGCAACTCTATGGTGTCAAAAACTGTTCAAGTTAATTTACAAGGCACCATCTTAATTAGACATGACAGCACAGACTCAACTAATTATATTTAAGTTCCGGAACTGCAACCATCTCAAAGACTCTATTACCTTACAAAGTAACAACCCAATAGATATCTAATCTTTTACAATTTGAATAACGTAAGTAACAGATGATATCCATCATTGGATTCCGAGATAATCCAGATCTTTGTAAAACACCACAAAGTAGCCAGTATAGACTACAACAAGATGGAAACCAAGACAATGAATGCTACATTATTCAAAAGTGTAAGCGATAAAATCGCAAATGTTCCCCAACCACGCAGTCTCTCCTTTCCAAATTTACTAGTGTATATGAATCATTTCAAGAAAATGGTATCATCAGAAAACAAAAAGAAAATAGCCCCTGATCCAGAAAACATACAACATTAAAATGCACCATAACAAGTTGATTACTATCATTAACCCATATCCTTTAAAAATCAAATGCAGATCCATCAAAGTAACACCCAACCAGCATGTCATAACCTCATCAAGTATTCGTAAACTCTTATATCATCACCGAGCCAACAGTCAATCTAACGGACCCTAAGTTAAACCCTTTCTCAAAACCCCCACTATTCAAGGACCATCAACGCAGCATGCGCAGTTATAACCAAGTAAAGTGTCACAACGAAGGAGGTGAAGGCAATAAAAAGCAAATTGCAAATAATCCAGACACAAACCAGTTTCATGTACAACCACATTGCAAACAATCACACTAAAAAGCCACAAAATTCATGCCACAAAAGGAAAATAGAGAAAGAAGAAGCAAAACTCACAGAGGATTCCGATTGGGGAACGGAGTGGAAGAGCTGCTGGAGGCAGAATCCAGCGAGGACATCTCAACAACAGCGCGATCGCTATCGTGAGCAACAACAGGGGAATATTTACGGCCTCCCAGACCGTGCGACGGCGGCGGGAACTCATTATCATCGGACGCTTCAATCTCCACATTGCCCACCATTTCTGATGGATTGGATCTGTGTCCCAAAAAAGTTCCGATTGATTCCTGTGGCCGCAACTACAGAGTGGTTTGGAAGAGAGGGAAAAGGGGTTTGGGTTTCCGACAAGATTTGGGAGATGCGAATTGAATCGAAACAATGAAAAAGTAAAAAATTATAAGAATGTGAATATTCAATTCAACGGTTTGAACTTTGAAGGATTTCGAAGGAAAACGTCAAGAAAGAAAGAAGGCTGTCAAAACTCAAAATGGGTTTGAATAGTAATTCACAGTATTTTCCTATATTCATTTGCAAAGGATAATATTCGTCTGGGAAAAAATTACTAAGGAAAAATGACAAGGAATTGATCATAACCATTCATTTTTAATACTTTTTATTTGGGATTTAAACATTTAAGTTTAGAGCATAATTTAGATGATTGACAACTCATTCTTTGTAAATTTTCCATGTACGTTTCATTACTCATTTGCAAAATAGTTACATTTGCTTTTTATTTCTTTTCTTTTGTTTTTATAACTTCTATACTCTAGTTTATAAAAAAAAAAAAAAAAGAAAAGGTTACCTAATACATTTGACTAATTAAAAAAAAATTAAAAAAATTTTTTAATAATTAAAAGAACACAATGAATGTTAAAATATAATTTTAAGATTTTTTCTCCTGTCAAAAAAACATGTAATTATAATATCTTATAATAAGAATCGGAGGGGGAATACTATTGTATATAGCAAAAATCAAGTTAAAGATCAAAAAGAAAAGGTAAAATTATAGTAATAATTTTGTGTGCACTAGAATTGATTATTTTGATGTACATCACAAAAATGTTTTCAAATACTACAGATGGATATCTTTAATGTTTTCCTCCATTGTTTAATCAAAAAATAATAAACAAAAAAAAAATTTCCTCTGTTGTACCAATTATAATATAAGGTATATAAAACACAAGTCTTTGTGTGATACACACGCGTCCAAAAACAAGAGAATTACCGATATTTACATTAATGTCATCCAGGTGATATGCACGCGCCCATTAAAAAGCCCCCTTTATGCGCTACTTTTTTTATTTTCAAATCCCCATAATTGTCGTTTCTTCCTAATTTTCAGCCAGTATCCATATTCGTTTTGCCATTTCGTTCCATCCAATTAGTCTGAAACCCAAAATCTCAAGCAAATATTCAATTTGTATCAAAGTGGGAACTAAACCTCTCATCAACGGAAGTGTTAAAGACGGAATCAAATTTGTGCATCCAATCTGACGATTTTGGTTGCAATATACTCTGCTCAATATGAGAATTAAGGTAATATATGATCTTATTCATCGGATTTGTGTGTTTCTTCTATCTATCAAGTTCTAATAATGATTTTTTTTATGAAATATTGATGTAGAGGGTTAGGATTGATCGAATTCATCTAATTCACTTGTTCAGTAAATCGTTAGAGCTTTATGAATTCAGATCTGCAATCGAAAAGGAAAAAATTCAAATTCGGTGAATCGCCAGATGTTCATGGATTCAGATCTGTTGTAGAAAGAAGAAAATTCATATTTACAAGTTCCACGACTTCCGCAGTCGGCTGACTACAAATTTAGAGCAAGAAAATTGTCCAAAATTCTGATATTTTTAGTGTTGAATCTCAGGTAACAATAATTATTCATCCTTCTAATTATAATTTGCATTTTATGAATATCGTGTAAGATATGTTGATCCGTTATTCATCCTATTAAACCTCATTATTCACCCTCTGTGAATCTATTATTTATCCTATAATATATGCATTATGGATATTTTGATTTGAATTAGGTGTATGCAGATCTAATGATTGTTTATAATATTAATCATGATTATTTATCGTCTATTAAGACGTTATTCATTATGTAGTCTGATATTAAGACGATTTGGAGCAAGAATATCATCAAAAATTCTTATATTTCCGGCATTCAGTCTTAGGTAATAATGATTATTCATAAGTCTAATTAAATATAATTTGCATTTTATGGATACCGTGTACGATATGCTGATTTATTCATCCTATTAAAAGTGATTATTCATCCCCTGTATGATGAATCTGTTATTCATCATGTAATATGTGCACTGTAGATATTTTGATTTGGATTAGGTGTATGTAGATCTGATGATTACTTATCATGCTATCATGATTATTCATCGTCTAGTAAGACGTTATTCATTAAGTACTTTGTTCATTATAGGCATTTGGTCTAGATTAGGTGTATCCAAATATATGATGGTTATTCATCCGCTGCTATGTCTTTGTTCATCTAAAGAGTGATATGATATAATCGTGTGAATGTACATTATTCATCATGTGAATGTGAGTGGTTCATCCTTTGAATCTGTGTTAGTTATACTGTAAATATCATTCATTCTGTAAAGAAATGTCATTCGTATTAACAAATTGTTATTCATCATGTAATATGTGATTGAGCACGATTGTAAATATGTGTCATTAATTCTGTAAAATTGTGTCATTCATCCTTTGAACATGTGTTATTCATTCCGTAGATATGTACATTCATCGTGCAAAGATATGTCATTCATTATCACTGATGTTGTTATTCATCATATAATATCATGCCCATACACGATTGTTATTAACCGTGGATTTATATAGTTTTAATGTTTATTCATCTATTTCAAGATGATTATTCATCTTCAATAGCATTGTTATTGATGATTAATGGAGTTTTAATTGAATGTGAAATCTCACATATAATAATCTTCTTTTTGTTTGATCAGCGGGAAAGAAATTCTCATCAAATGAACTCGATCGGTTCATAATCAAATATTTGGCAGAGTTGCTGAAATCAAACAATCAACATAAACGTATCGAGCATCGGCGGATCATTGAAGACCTTTTATGTTAAAAACAATGACTAGTTTTTTGTTCAATTTTGATACAGTATAATTCACAATTAGAAGTTTGGTAACTTAGTTGCTGACATTAACTCATTGTAAAATATACTCTTGTTATTTTTCTTGATCAAAGTTGTTCATTCTGTTGCGCATTATTCATCCACTAACGATATATTATTCATTTATTAAAGTACAATTATTTTATCTTGCAAAACTACATCTATGCTTCATTTTAGTATTGTCATTCATCTAAGATGGGATCATTATTCATCAAATTTGCATCGTTATTCATATTTGTGAATATCATTATTCATTTCAGTATTTGAATTTTCGCATCCATAACTTTGATACTATAAGAACACCATTTTCATCCATAATATTATCATTATTCATCGATAAACAAACAACTATTCATCCAAACAAACATTGCTATCCATTAAAATCTTCCAAATTTGGCGCTTAATTCTCCAGATTCCATTGCTTAAAAAAAATCAAAAGAAAAGTGTGCTAAAAAATAGGTGCACGTGTAACTGAAATTTAGAGGAAAAAACTCAAATTGCGTAGAAGGAAAGTGTATTACACATGCCCATGAGGTACACCTTACAATGTGTACATATGTGCTTAATATTATTTGCCCCGTTGTACCGCTATGATCTAAATCAAGTTACAAAATGTGATTGTATTTTCTTCTAAGTGGAATTCTGATGGAACATACAAAATCATCTTTACTTGTGTTATACATGCATTTTATACACGCATTGTTGATACTGTCATCATTTAATATACCTCAAAAATAATTGTCTTACGAATTTGACTATATTGTAGTATTGGCAATTCTTTTAAAATGATATGGATACATTTTTAACAACTAATTGTACCCATAATAAAACAGATACTAACGAAGAAGATTAATTAAAATATGAGTGTATTGAACTTTATTTCCTTTTCTTAAAATTTGTATCTAATAAAATTTCATTTTTGACTTTTTTCTCATTATGTTTAAACAATCTAATGTCGCTTAAAGAAATATTGTAAAAGTTCCACACCACTTATAGGGTTTCTTTCTTATAATTAAAATCATTGCCATTTTTACTTTGAATCAGAAATCCAAATGGCAACAACATTAGCCAGAAAAGAGGGGGAAAATGTATCATCTTCTTTTTGCTTATCGATCAACTTGGAAGGTTCAACGTTCACCGCTTGATTTTCTTCACATGAAAAGTATTTTATTTTTAGAATTTTGTTTTTCATTTATTAAGTAAACTCGTTAAATTATTAAATTATTTTTTTTATGAAAGGCAAATTTTATTAATCAGTGCAAATCATAATAAGATTACAGTCAGCTGCTGTACCCATACCTGATTACATCTCTACTCTGTTACATTCATCAACTCGTCTATACATCAATACCTAATGCTTTCATATACCTCTTTTCACTCATTCTAAGTCTAATACAACTCCCCGATACTTTCCATTTAACCTCTTGTCTGATTTTTTTCAAACAAAACTTGTACTTCAATCAACTTCCCATGAGCTACCCGATTCCTCATCCACCGTATATAATAGATAGTAGCTGCCAATGCACTAAACAGGATCCTCTATTTACCTGTACTTTGCTTCAAGATTTTGATAACTCTTGCTTTCCATTGCTTGAAGTGATCAGGAATTCTCTGACACTGTGTCCAATCTTTTACCTTCTAAAGTAGCTGACTAGCAAATCTACACTGAAACAGCAAGTGTTCTAGGCTTTCTCCCTACGCTTGACATAGATAACATCTGAAAGGTTGCTGCAACATATTTAATGCCACCATTCTGTCAGTAGTCTAGAGCCTTTCCCTTAAAAGCCAACCATAATATAATACTATGTTTAGGAACATTCCACTTATTCCAAACAATGGAGGCTTCTTTAACTATTTCACCCCTTCCTCTAAGTCAGTAACCAGATTTTGTAGTGTAGAGTCCATTCTTTGCTGCTAATCATTTGCCATTATGACAACCATATTTCATCTTATTTTTGTCATGAGTTTCTTCCAATGCTAACTGGAACCTTATGCTGGTGAATAATTCCATATAGACTCACCTTTTAGATAGAACTCATGGCACCACTTAACCCAGGTTGTCTTTTTTGGCTGCCAAATCCCATTCTTGCTTATCCAGGGTAGCTCTATTCCATATTTTCAGCTCTTTAATATTCAATCCTTCACAACTTTTGGGCTTGCGTATTTCATCCCATGCAACTAAGGAATATGCTCTGCCGTTTTATTTTTTTCTCCATAAAAAACTCCCTGCAAACTATGATAACCTGAACTATAGTACCTTTTGGCAACATGAATATAGATGCCCAGTAGGTAAGCATGGTTAATAGAACAGCATTTACTGAGACTACTCTCCCTGCATAGGATAAGTGTCGGGATGTCCAATATTTTATCCTAGCAGTAATCTTATCCACTAGTATATTACAGTCCAGACTACTCCATTTATTTGGGGAGATCGGAACCCCTATATACTTCATAAGGAATTAATACACCATAACTAAAACCAGTTATTTTCTGAATTTCAGCCTTAACATCATACTCTACACCTCCACAATATAAGGGAAAAATTAGCGGATCTACCCAAAGCTTTACATGCTTCGTCAATTCTACCCTATTCTTTTTTGGTTAGCCAATATTACCCTAAACTATCCAACCGCTAGCCGATTTTGTCCAATTTGCTATTTTCTGTCTAAATTAATGGAATTCTATTTGTTTTAATTATAAAAACATCCTAATAGTTTTAAAAATTTATAAAAATGATCCTAAAAATTTACAAAAATTATAAAATATTCTATTTTCAGTTTTCATTTAAAATTTTCTATTTTTTATTTCTTTTTACTATTTTTCATAACTATAAAAATATACTATATGATCTTTTAAAAAAATATTTATTTTTAAACTTTAATGTACAAATTTTTAATTACATATTTGTATGTCATGTTTAATTTACATAAGCATATTAATTTTTTAATAATATGGTTTTACAATAATAATACTATTTTTTAATCTATTTTTTTCAATCTAAAGAATAAGATTATTTAACTAATAATAATTTTTCGCAAAAAAATTAAACAATTCGCATAGATTAAAAAAGAATCTATTGGTATACTTTAATGTATTACAATTTAATTTAACTGACTTTAGATTGTATATTAAAATTTAAAAAGAAATCAAAACTAAAATATAAATTTTTTTTAAAAGGCCAAGTATAGACAGAAAGTAAAAAAAAAAAAAAAACACCTATTTTGTTTCTACGTTGGCCCAACACAAGAATATAGTGTCGTGGCATTTACAAAAATGGTACAAAATATTTTATAAAAAATATGTATATTTATTACTGCGAGGGTTTAACATTTTGTGATAATGTTTTAAGAATTAATATATCTAATTTTAGCAGGAAGTCTTTTTTTTAAAAAAATAATTTAAAAAAATCTATTCCAGTACTGGACTCCACCTTTTTTTTACATTAAAAAAAATTAGATTTCTCCAGTGAGAATCGAACCTCGAACACAGTTTTAATCATCTCACATCTTAAATCACCTAACCATCCAATGCAACCCTCTTACCTTTAGTGGACCCCACTTAAACGTGGGTAAAATCACTCTCCCGGTTAGAAATACTTTAGTGACAATTAATCTTATATCTACTCTCATGAAACTTAACACCCTAAACACTAGACAATACCCTATATTTTAATTTAATAATTTTTTTAATTAGATAATATAATCTATAGTCTGTTTAGTTAATTTACAATAAATTAAAATGTACTAATATATATTTTTTTAATCTATGCTAAATGCTTTTATTTTTTGTAAAAAATTAGTTTTAGTCAAAAAAATCTTATTCTTTAAATTGAAAAAGAGTGATTAAAAGAATAATATCATTTTTGTCTAGCCATATTATTAAAAAAATTAATATGTTTATGTAAATCAATACTGAGTTACAAAATGTATATCTATAAATTTGTACTGTAGTGTTTAAAAATAAATTATTTATTTAAGATCATATAGTATATTTTTATGGTTATGAAAAATAGTAAAAAGAAATAAAAAAATTAAAATAAAAACTAAAAAGAGACTATTTTGTAATTTTTGTAAATTTTTGGGGTTCTTTTTATAAATTTTTAAAACTATTAGGGTGTTTTTGTAATTAAAACAAATAGAATTCCGTTAATTTAGACGGAAAATAGCAAATTGGACAAAATCGGCTACGGTTGGATAGTTTAGGGTAATATTGGGTAACCGAAAAAGAATAGGGTAGAATTGACGATGCATGTAAAGCTTTGGGTAGATCCGTCAATTTTTCCACAATATAAGTGAGATTTAAGCTGGTTAGCTTGCAAACCTGTGGCAGCAGTGAACTGATTCAGAATCTTCATTACCCTTCTGATTATGTTCCGCTCTGCTTTGCATAGAATGAGGTCGTCGGCGAAGCATAAATTCATAATTTGGAGCTTCTGATACTTTGGATGAAAGAGGAATCCTCCCTTAGCTGCTTTTTTCTTAAACAGCCTGTTTAAGTACTCCATGACTAAGACAAAAAGTAAGGGTGGTATGGGATTCCCTTGCCTAATGCCCCTTCTTCCTTCATAATGACCTGTCGAACTTCCGTTCATGCACAATGAGTAAGAAGAGGTAGATATACATTCTTTTATCCAGCAAATAAACTTTCCAAGAAACTGGTATTCCAATAAGACTTCCTCTACAAATCCCCATGCTATTGATCATGAGCTTTTTGGAGGTCAACTTTTATTAGGCATCTTGGAGAAATGTTCTTCTTGGTTGTAAAACTTTACCACTTCCTGAGTAAGCAAAGTATTGTGGAAGATCAAACGATTGTTTACAAATGCTCCCTGGTTCTGCTCCACTAAACTTGGCAGTACTTCATTCAACCTGTTACAAAGCATTTTGGAAATGCATTTGTAAAACGTGTTGCAGCTGGAGATAGGACGATAATCAACAGTTGTCTAAGGAACTTTTTTTTTAGGAATCAAAGCAATAACCGTTGAGTTCATCTGCTTTAGCAGGCTCCCAGATTGGAAGAACTCCATGATGGCCTCATTGGTTTCTTTGCCCACTATACTCCAGGATTTCTTATATAAGGCACTTGTATACCCAACTGGTCCGGGGCTTTTCCCTTATCCAATGGAAAACATTTCAGTTTTTGACCTCTTCCATATCAAAGTCTTTGATTAATCTCAGCTGCTGCTCAATAGATAAAACAGGCCCTTGTTTACAGACTTCCTTATCAAGCTATTCTGTCATGTTCTTGACCTTACAGATTCTTATAAAAGTCAAGAAAATGCTTTTCCACCATTGCCCAATCCTCTACCACCTCCCCATTATTATTAACATAGGTAATGATTTACTTTCCTTTTGCTACTTCTTTATCACATCATGGAAGTATGCTGAATTTAAATCCCCCTTTTGTACCCAGGCTTCTTTGGTTTTTTGCTGCCAAAAGCTATAAGCAGCCTTACTTAGGCTGGCATACTTTGTCACTATCTCCTTTTCCATGCGCTACAACTGTTCATCATTGGGCTGCACCTGCAATTCAGCTTGAATATGCTCCATTTCTTCTCTATATGCCTGAACTTGGATGTCCACACGAGCAAATCTATCTCTATTGAGTAGCTTCAATTCCCTTTTCAATCTCTGTTGCTTCTGGACTAACTGAAATTGCTTTGTTCCCTTAACTGGCATCCTCCAACTTTGTTGAACCAAATCCTTATATCCTACTGCCTCTGTCAACATATTATAAAATTTGAAATATCTATTAGTTCTGCAACTGTGATACTCCCATTTCACTAACAAAGGACAATGGTTAGATATGCTTTCCGTCAAAACAGTTACAAAAATTTCTTCAAATCTTTTCAACCATTCACCATTTATCAATACCCTATCAAGTTTTGCACTTATTCGGTATGTTCCCAGCTGCCTGTCATTCCAAGTGAAGAATCCTCCTTGACATAGAAGATGTTCCAGCTGACATTCATCAATTGCCATTCTAAACCCTTCTACTTCATTCAATGAGACTGGTAATCCACCTTGCTTCTCCTCATGACTTAGCACATTGTTAACATCACCTGCCACAATCCAGGCAGTGTTAATGCTCTGCCCTAATTGCACTAGATCATTCCACAGGTGCAGCCTTTTATTTTTATCATTATCTCCATATTTTACTTTCATTTGATATTTCTTTAGAGTAGTTAAGTCTTCAACTTCTGAATGGATGAACTGCTCAGTCACTTGCTATACATGAACTTTCACCTCACCTTTCTGCCATACCAATAATGTTCTAGTTCTATCATCTCCCAAACAATTACCAAAATATTCATAACCCATCCACCATTTTGCCATGACTTCCTTCAACTGATCTCTTTTTATTTATACTTCTACTAATCTTAGTATATTTACCTTATGCACAGAGACTAAATGCTTAATCTCTCTGTGCTTCAGGGGATTATGTAATTCCCTGGGATTCCATATCAAAAGGTTACTCATTGGGGATAAACCCCTGAGTTGATGCACCAAGATCTCTTTCCTCAGTTCTAGCCCATCGACTGCCACTGGCTTGCTATTATAGCATATATCTTGCTGTTGACAAGTCCTGGTCACTGGTTTAGGCCTTCCTATTGGTTGAATCACTTTTGTAGCTGGCTGCTTATCATCTTTAGCAATCTTAGAATTTGTCTTTGGTCGCTACTCTTGATGAGTTTTCTTCCTACATTGGGAGGTTTCATGTCCAATCCCTTTACAACCTTCACATTTAGTGGGCTTCCATTCATACACACTTTTTTGCTCATTGATCACACCCATCTAATCTTCAAACCACAGCTTCTCAGGAAGTGTTTGCTTAATCTCCACCTCAATTAAAATTCTTGCATATTCAATTCTTTGCTTTGTAGTCATCATCTCATCCATCTCTATTGGTGTGCCTACTATACTAGCAATCTCACTCAAAGTATTGGGATTCCAGTATTTGAGTTTCAATCCATGGAGTTGAATCCCGATGGGCACCTTCAGTATCTCTTCCATATTTATACCTTCAATCACAGACCAATTCTTGACAATAACAGGCTTGCTGTCAAAGTGATAGTATTGTTGCTCGAAGACAGCATTCTTACCTTCTAAACTGTTAAATCGAACAACAAAGACATCATTTGCCAGCAGTAATACTTTATCGACACCAAATCTTCCCCACATCCTACGAACATAACCATTCATGAATTCATATGGGGGATGACCTCCCAGCACATAATAGACCAATGATGTTTTCCAGCAGTCAATTTCTTCATCTACATCTTGCTTCCTTTTTTTTTTTCATCATCAACAACCTTAGGATTCACAAACTCAAGCATAGTGGAAATTCCCATTAATTTGTCCTTAAACAATTCATTCTTCAGATCTAGAGTCTCCTTTGTTTTCCCATAAATTCAAGAATCATTCAAACAAGAAACAACAATATGGTGATTACACAGATCTTCTAAGACACAATTAGCCCTAACAGCGAGGGAGGGTTCATCAAAATTGTTACCTTTGATCAGCAATTGACGCGCTGGATCCTTTAGCGTCAGTTCCGACGATAAGTAGTTCCCAGATGGTTCCTCAATTTCCGATTCCGTAACCCTAGCCGCCTTGCTTCCATCTCTCGTAACCAGCTTCTTTCCTCTTGCCGGTCTTGCCATGGCAGATACGCAGTGGGAATATCAACGGAGAATTGGAATCAGGAGGTGAAAAAGGGAAATCGCACAGTGGGAGGTGAAATCGCCCACAGTACGGAAAACAGCTATTATTATTATTATTATTGTGTCGATAAAGTACTATTTATGCAAATAAGTAAAATTTTTGAGTATGAATAACATATATTAGTTTTGTCTTGTCACGCAAGACACGAGAAGGCCCAATATTTATGCTGATTTTCTTTTAAAGAAAATAGTGAACTATAAAACAGGTCATCGAACTATTGGGTAATCTCATTATAAGTCATCAATCAAATTTATTTATAAAACATGGTCCCTTACTAAGCCAAAAATCTATCCGAGGTCATTTTGTTAGTTTTGGCCGTTAAAACATCACAGAAAGTTATTTTTCACATGGAAAACATGTGAGTTGGGTTCAGGAGCAATTTTGTCATTTTGTTTTTTTAAAAAATATTTTTTTTTAAAGATTTTTCTTATACTTCCTAACTTGTATATGTTCATATACTAATATAATTACTAAATTTTAAGAATTAATTTACCTTGTGTATATCAAAAAATATAAACACTAAAAAATATGAAAAAGTTCCACTATTAAAGAGTACAAACATTTATTTTTTTCATGAAATTAATATTGTGTTATACTTTTTAGCCATCAAAATATTAAAATATTAATTACAGTGAAAAAAATAATCATTTTAAGATAAAATGATTATAAATTTGTATTTCGTGACTAACCTGTGTATTACAGGGAGTCAAACGACTTGTCTTAATTGGTTCTTTTAGAATTTATTTTCCTTTTTTGTTTAAAATGATAAAATATTAATTTTCATGTTTACTCCAACTTGAGTTGTTCTTCTTCATTTTCTTTATTCTTTAAAATTTATTTAATGATTTCGTTTTTGACATATGACATACAAATGGTAAATTATTTTTAAAATTTAATAATTATATAAGTATTAACGTATACAAGTTAGGAAGTATAAGAAAAATTGTATAAAAAAATATTTTTTTTACAAACAAATACAAAATGAAAAAATTGCCTCCGAACCCAATTCACATGTTTTGTATGTGTAAAAATAGCTTTTCGTAATGATTTAGCGGCCAAAACTAACAGAATGACCTCAGACGGATTTTTGGCTTAGTAAGGGGTCATGTTTTATAAATAAATTTTATTGATAACCTATAATGAAAGTACCCAATAGTTCGATGACCTTTTTATGGTTCACTCTTAAGAACATTCTAAATTTATGTTCATGGACAGTCCTAAGAAATTATTACATGTGATTGCATAACTTCCTGTGACTTTTTTTTTTATTATGTAAAACATTTACTTTACGTCTAGATATTATTTATTGACATAATAATCATTTAATAATTTCTTTTCTTATTGGTATATGTAATGATGGAAATGGATAAATTGCTTTACCTATTTAAATCAGTTGTCACTAGTGAAAATACGCATCACTCTCACTTTAATTGTTCTTCGCCTAAAATATATCCTCAAATACTTCATTTCAATGTGTTAAAAAAAAAAACCCTACAATATCTGATTCATAGTGTTACTTTACAATTAGCTAATATTTACCTTAAAAAAATCCTACACAATTGTAACTCTAAATTTCATTATAGAATAGTCAATATTTATTTCTTATATGTTCCTAGCGGTTCTATCAACTTATCCCAATCAATCACTCTAGTTAATATATTTCTAAATTAAATTTTGATTCAAACTGAAAATGAAAAATCAAAAGATTATATAGTAAAACCTCATAAACTAATACTAGGTTCTGGACCTGTACCTTCGCATGGGTACATGAGAGCTCATGTTGTTAATTTTTATCTAAATAATTTTAAATAAAGTAAACGATAGTTTAGCGGGTGTGTTGCCTTATTTTGTTGGTAGCAACATCAATTAAAAGTAATACTTTATTTACTTTTATTATCATAAGATAGAGTAGAATTAGATATTTTATTTCATCTAACTTAATGGGATGTTAACCCACAGTTCTAATAGATTTCATCACATCAAACTAAAAAATCATATATGATTGTTACAATATATAATTTTGTTGTAGCAAACAGATATCATTGTATCTTTAACAACTTATACTTATTAGTTGAAGATAAATTATTTGCATGAATACTACTTTGCCAGATATGGTATCGAACTCGGGATTTCACTTTATTGTGCTTCATATATAAGCCGACATTCGGAAAAAAATTCATCTATACCATTAGAACCATAGTACTTTTCTTTCGGCAAAATGATAAAGAGAAGAAATCACTAAACTAAAATATTTAAGTAATTAATTCATCCTGCATAAACTATAGAAACAGTAATTTATCTCTTTCATGCATATCTGCAATTCGTTAATATAGCTGTTGGTTTAGCCATATAGAATTCTAGTTTAAGCACAACATCCATATCTTCTATTTAATCTTAAAAAAAAAAACATAATCACCTGATTTCATATGCCGATTCCATCAGCGATCCTCTTTTTTTTTTGTTGAACATCCAAGTTAGCTTTTGCTTTGCCAATCAGATTCGTTGCTGTGTGTTACCGCCTCAACCAAATTCAGCCGTTTGTCTTCTGCCAACCTTCTCGCAAATTTATGATTATGATTTTCACATTTTTTTACATATATTTCGAGTATTTCTCATACCTATTTTGAGTTTGGAGTGTCTGCATTGATGTTGAGCCTTCTCAGCAAACGATGGTTTCGCCAGATTTATTCTCCTGTCAAAATAAATTTTGTTACATCGGAGGTTATGATACCAGCCTTCCACGATAGTTATTGAATGAGATTATTCTTGGTGTATATTTGGGGGATAAATTGATGCGGTTTGCAGTTTCTAAAAGATTTTGGTTCCAAACTGAGGTAGACCCAGGATAATCAAAACATATGAAATTTGATGAAGAACATGGGAGTTTTAGTTAGTTTTAATTATAAATTTTTAGTATTTTTCAGAATTTCTTATGTGAAAAATTCTGTGATTTTAGAAGGAGATGGGTGTAGGAGAGACTGACACTTGGATTTTAGGGAAAAAAGTGGTTTTTACTATAATGGAGGTTATTTTTAGTATTTTTGGAAAATTATGTGATTTTAGAAGGGAAAGGGTGTAGGAGAAATTGACACTTGGATTTTAGCAAAAAAAAAGTGATTTTTACTATAATGGAGGTTATTATAGATTAGATTATAGATGGATAGATAGATTATAGATTATAGATAGATAGATTATAGATAGATAGATACTCCACAAGGTAATAAATTCTATTAAATAATAAACTTTTTTTTGTCTTACCTCTGGACAAGCACAAAACAAAGAAAATAAATAAATAAATAAAATAAAATAAAATAAAATTTTTTTAGAAAAAAATTATATAAATATAGCTGTCTTTAAAATCATAAATTAATAATGATCTTAAATATCAAAAGAAAAAGATTTCACCATTTTTTTGTTAAAAAAAATGGAATATTACAAGACATTATTTACTACTACAAAAGTATAAGTGAAAGAACATATTTTGTAATATATGTACAGAGTCTGATGTCATAATTAATAATCCACATTGACTTTTGATATTTGTACTAAAAAAGTATTATAAAAAAACCATTAAATTTGTAAACAAATTTCAAATTAATTTGCTGGTTTTACAAATTGCACACACATTATTCCCTATATCCCGAAAAAATAATCCAATTTTAAGTTTTGAGATTTGTACTAAAATAGTTTAAATATAAAAAAAAATTCACATTTTTTTTGGTTGTTGCAATAGAAGAAGTATAAACGCCTAGTACTGTCAAACAAGTACATCACAAGGGTATGATACCCTAATTATATCATACTCTAACCATTGTTTGATACCCTTCGGTAGGGTTGAAAGCCATACTTTGGGGAAAAAGGGAGTACAATTCTTTATTTAATCCATTCGTAAAAAGTTTTTTAATTTTTATTTCTTGCTTGTCACACCTTATATTGAAAAAATTTCTCCATCTTTTCCCCATTTTAATGAATCTTAATTTTCATCAATTTGATTTCTTATAATCATATTCTTTTTTGTTCTTCAAATTGATAAAAAGAAACAAAAAATATCTTTCTAAATTAAATAAGTGGTGTTATATTTTTTAGGATGAATAAAATTCATCATAGGTTTGGGTTGGTTAAAGAAATTGCACAAAGCAAGTTTCAGAAAATTTACACGATCCATATTTTTTTATAACCAGCTAAATGAATGTGTTTTTTTTTTTTTTTGGAAATTCATACTTTATTGATTGTATAAACTTGCCACAACATGAATGACAACAGCAGTTGCCTACATAATTTATGCGCATTCTCCAATATATACTAATAAAGACATTTTCAAAATTGCAAGTAAAACCATCTTTAGGCTTACTATTTTCTACTAAAGACTGAAGTGAGAAGGAAATGCTTGCTTCACCAGAATCTGTATTAGAAATTAAAGCATTATCTATTTACAACATATATACAACTGGATCATCCTTTAGATTAGCTTCTTGTAAACCAGCTTTCTAAACATGTGGTAGTGGGAGAAACATTGACACCACCACAAAAGAGAAATTAACCTACTCAAAACTATTAGATAGCAATAAGTAGGGCCGATCCACATGGATGACAGTAAATCAAAAAAAACTGATCCAAGTGTAAACTTGAAAAGTAAATAGAACAGATTGTCACTTAGAAAAGCGAGAAAGTCACTTGATAGAGTGTGAAAGAACCAGGGTCATCCTCCTTTCTATCTATATGTTCATGTATTGATTCAATTAGTTCTTTTTGCACATATGATCATTTTCTGATTAGACACATATTTTCTCTACCTTCACTCTCGATAGTAATAAAGAGTCCCAGTTTAGCTAAATTACCTCCATCTCTGTGATAATTATTCATTACACTGAGCCATTGAGTACTTAAACCCCAGTGATCACCTATTTCAATCAACTAACTCCATTGACGACCGAAAATA